CGTGCAATTCGTGAGGCCTGTGTTAAACTGGAAATCGGTTATCAGCCAGGCATAACTTTTATAGTAGTGCAGAAGCGTCACCACACTCGGTTATTCTGTGCTGACCGTAAGGATCAGATGGGCAAATCGGGGAACATTCCAGCTGGAACCACTGTTGATCAAGTGATCACACATCCTACAGAATTCGACTTTTACCTCTGCAGTCACGCCGGCATTCAAGGTACTTCGCGACCGAGTCACTATCATGTTCTCTGGGATGATAATCAGTAAGTAATTACTAATTTAAATATTAATTTTTAAGAACAATTCAACAGTTTTATATCAAAAGTATCTTCTACAACTTAACGCAGTTCGGTTTTACTCGGACTAGTAGTTTTTATAATCATCATACAGTAAAGAGAATACTTAAATTAGCCATTAAATTTCACTTTGCCTTACGTCAAAAAATCGCTTTCGCATCCAGGTTAACTTCGGCTTGACGATTTGCCTTAATCTAATCGCTCTGCATTGAGAACTTGTAAAACGTACCTAGTTTCGTGTCCTCTGCCATAGTATTCGTGATTTCCAGCATTGGACCATTTACTTTGTACATTCCTAAACGTTTCGCCGGCATCGTATTCGGCATCATCAGTGAGACTTACAACTTATTATGAAGTAAAAATACTTAACATCTTGGTCATATTAGCAGGAAGACCTAGAGAAACGCACCTGGCTTGTAGTCAATAGTATGCATGATCATTTCCAGAGTCGCACCTTGGATTTGGTACATTCCCAGACGTTTCGCCGGCATCGTTGTAGGCATCGTCAGCGGACCTTCCAGTCTTGGCATCACACTACAACTCGTCAAAGAAACAAGTGAGGTCGATTCTTTGACCAAATGTGTGTCATTTATAGTTGACTATTAGGAGATAATTTTGCTCATAGACGTGGTTCATAAATTAAAGGCTTGACCACGAGCTTTACTTGGTGCACATGCGACATAGCGATAAAGGAATCTGCAGCGCCAAGTTAGGCTGACATGCCAAATAGGAATCTAGGCTTTAAGGACTTGTGCGTTGAGAGTGGTTTATACGTGCCTTCAAAGGCTTGAGGTAAAGTGTAGAACAGCGCCTCGAGTAGCACGGATAAGGTAGCAGCGGAGGCATAAAATCATTTGAAACAAGCAGATAAGGGAAGGTTATTACGGAGCAAGAGGGGACTGATAGGACCCGAAGAGAGAGGATTGCGGATTTAACCGTAGCATTGAATCAATAC